AGTATGGGAGAAGAGGGGGAGGGGGAGGTGGGAGAGGATGGAGGGAGGGAAGGAGAGAAGAGGTGAGGGAGCCCATGGGAGAAGATGGTGGGGGTGGGGAGAAGTGGGACATGGAGTGGGAGAGGATGGGAGGGAGGGAAGGAGAGAAGAAGGGGGAGGGGTGAGGGAGAGGATGGAGAAGAGGGGGAGGTGGTGGGGGTGGGGAAAGTGGGAGAGGATGGGAGGGAAGGAGGGGGGAGGGATATTGCCGTTTATAGAAGTAGATAGATAGATTAGTAGATAGATAAAGAGAATAGAAATAGAAAAACATACAAACAAACAAGAGATCACTCCCCCCTCCCTTAGATACCCCATTACACCATGAAACCATTAATCCCCCACAAGTGTCTCTCCTTCTTTGAAACTTTCCCTGAAACTTCCCTAAACCCCTTGAACTCCTCATAAACTTCCTACCAAATACCCTTAAAACCCCTTCACTGAACTTCCCTTAAACATACCATCAAATGCCCTTAAAAAACCCTTCAATGAACTTCCCTTAACCTTCCTACCAAATACCCTTAAAACCCCTTCATTGAACTTACTTTAAACTTACCACCCAATACCCTTAAAACCTCTTCATTGAACTTCCCTAAACTTCCCACCCAATACCCTTAAAACCTCTTCATTAAACTTCCCTTAAACTTACCCTTCCTACCAAATCCCCTTAAAAAAATCCTACATTGAACTCCCCTTAAACTTCCCACCCAATACCCTTAAAATCCCTTTCCTGAAACTTCCCTTAACTCCCCCATCACCCCCCCACCCCCCACCCTAAACTCTCCCGCATTCCCCAGCAACAAGACGACTTCCTTGGCGTTGGTCCTCCAGTCTACTTCGTGATGACTGAAGGCTACAACTTCAGTGACTTCGACGAGCAGAACCTGGTGTGTCGGTTCTCGGGTTGCAAGGATGACTCGATGTTGCACGTGATCTATGCCTCCTCGAAGAAACCGGAGATGTGAGTTGTTCTTTGTGCTCCCATTCTCTGTCTCTGTCTGTCTGTCTGTCTCTCTGTCTGTGTGTCTGCTGTCTTTTCTCTCTCTGTCTCTGTCTGTCTCTCTCTCTCTGTCTCTGTCGCTCTCTCTCTCTCTCTCTCTCTCTCTCTCTCTCTCTCTCTCTCTCTCTCTCTCTCTCTCTCTCTCTCTCTCTCTCTCTCTCTCTCTCTCTCTCTCTCTCTCGTCTCTTCTCGAATTCTCTCTTCTCCCCCCCCCCTCTATCTCCTCTCTCTTTTCTTTCTTTTTTTCACAAACAATAATGGCGAAGCGAATGTGCAGAATTCAATCGATCAGCCAATTAGTAATTAGTTTCTCAGATAAGTGGAAGAAAAAATGATTATGCAAGATAACAAAGAATGAAAGTATAATAAATCAAATGAATAATACTAACAAGGACATACCTTTAAGCACAGACCAGACAACCTCAATAAATCATAGATATACATTGAGACAAAAACATAGAAAATAAATAAAAATGAATAAATAGATTGAAATAGTGCCGTAAGGCATGAATGATAATGATGACTAGAACAACTAAAGAACTGAAGATCAATTGAGGAAAGTGAAATTAGATAACGTGATGAAGGTAGACCTAAAAAAAACTAAATGAACAGGGAGAGAAAAATAAGTATTGGTAATTCATTCACAGGACTTACTTGGCCACAGAAGCAACCTCTTGGATTTCGTCCTACTTGACCTGGCTTCGAGATTTTGTAGGATCTGGCTTTGCAATTGGTGCGTGTTGCAGACTGGACGCCGACGGAGACTTCATCGACACCTCAGGTAATTACTCTCATGTCGTGTACCTCATCTTCAGGCGGTGTCTTAACACTGTGCGAGGCCCGACCCAATCAGCATTCATTAACTGGATATGCATATACACATAGATAAAAAGCACGCCTATCAGTGTAGACATGCATATCTACTGGACGGATGGATAGATGAATGTATATCTATCAGATTGATAGACAGATATGCATTCTTTTCTGCGTATTTGTATGTCCGTATATGGGAATATTCATGAGGTCGGGGCCCGCACAATTTTGAACAAACTGGCCGTTTCCCTAACTTAATCAAGTCTAACCTACCATAGCTTAACTTAAATTAACCTAACTTAACGTATTCTGACTTAACCTAGCCTAGCCTAATCAAACCTAACCTAGCGTAGCCTACCCTAAACTAACCCTGGATAATCCCTTCTCAAATGTACTAACCGAACCTAGACTTAGCCTAACCCAGCCAGACTTACCTTAGCCCAACCAAACCTAGCCCAGACTAACGGAACCAAGCCTAGCCTTTCTTATTTCATTTAACCCCGCTTAGTCTAATCTACCCCCCCCCCCCCTCCCCCATTCTCGCCAAGACATTCCATGGACGCGTGACGACTTGCCTGCAGCCGGACGACTTCACTCCGGCCGCCCCCCGCCCGCCCCTCTTCCCGAGACACCTGGGGGACTTCCTCTCCG